GCTTGGCGAGCCGGCCGCTGAAGGGGCGTCCCGGCGCGGTGAATCCCCGCTGGTGACAAGTGCCGGTGACTCAGCGCGCCTTCTTTTTTCTTTTTTGACTAGGAATGACTTTCTCATTGAAAGCTGCGAGCTTGCTTGCTTTCTTGTTTCTGCTCAGAGGGTTTATAAGCTTGTGAAGGGACAAGGAGGTTGAATAGGCGAGTTTGACTGTATTTGTATAATCTAACTTGCTTAATTCTCTCTTCATCACCGTGCACCACTGACTTATTTCATGAAAGCCTTCTTTTTTCTTTTTTGACTAGGAATGACTTTCTCATTGAAAGCTGCGAGCTTGCTTGCTTTCTTGTTTCTGCTCAGAGGGTTTATAAGCTTGTGAAGGGACAAGGAGGTTGAATAGGCGAGTTTGACTGTATTTGTATAATCTAACTTGCTTAATTCTCTCTTCATCACCGTGCACCACTGACTTATTTCATGAAATACTACCTTCTAGGACAGTTATTTCTGCATCTCTTGAAAACTTTGTTTGAGATCCCCGTTCAAAATGGCTTGATAGTTCCTGGGTTGGGAGGAAGAGCAGATGGGGTGAAAATCAGTGTGCTGCACCTTACTGGCTGGCTTTTGCACAAGAGCTTCATCTCTGATGCTTTCACTGAGAGAGAACACAGTGTGAAGCTACTCTCAGACCACCAAAATCAGGTGTAAAACCAGCATAGCTGGTTTGTCTGTACTAGTGCATATCATGTCTGAACACCACTGTTAGGTAGTATTTCATAGGTTGAAGACGTCTGGACTTTCCTTGCAGAGCCAAGACATGGATTCCCAGCTAAGGAAACACAAATGTAGGCAAATCAAACTACTGCTGCTCTGGTTTTGGGAAAGCTATGGACAGCATTTAAAATAGGTGACTCCTTGGAAGGGCTTCCCTTCAATATTTCTAGTAGTTGATATTTAACTGATAGCTTTATCTGTGTACAGATGAGATATGCTCCCTTGACCCTTAACAAGCTGCTGAGTATGTTGACCTATATAGGGTGCAATATCTTCACTGGCCTTCTGTATGAATTATGCTGATTAGAGATAACTTTTAAAAGTCTTAAGTGCATAAAACCATAGTTAAACCCTTGTGTAATGGAGTTGAGCCAAAATGAGGTGCTCCTGCTGGGGGGAAGGTTTCTGAGCTTTCATACATTCCGCAGAGACTGGGCTTGTCTTTAAGAAACCAAAATATTTTTACGAGATTCAAAGCGAATTTAGGCTGCTTAGGTTTCCTATTCTTTACATATTTGTACTTAACGAAATTCTAGAGCAAAGACTTCAAAAATGTCAGTTTAGCACCAGAAGTGTAGCTGGTAAAACCATCCCATCTTAATGACCGTCTCTGAATAGCCCGTTTTTGCTCTGCAGTTGATATCCTTTCCATCTGTTTCTGGTTTCTACCTGTTCACCTTCATGGTTCAAAGTTAGTTGGTACCTCTTGTCTCTTAACATCATTGTTTGGCTGTCTGCCAGGCCACCTGGTTCTCCTGTCTGCTTTTTTGAGCTCACTTTGCAGCTGCTATTTTACCTTTTTTTCTTGATTATTCCTCCTCTCTCATTGGCTCTGAATCCATAGGTCAACCTGATTTTTCTATGTAGCGTCTCCCAGTAAATAAATGTAGGTCAGAGAGCTGCTTTTTGTTGTCTGTTTGTTTGTTTTTCCTCTCTTCTCTACTGCAGAAAATCTTTACTTTCCCTGGTGGTTTGTAAGGAGAGAAAAAAAAAAAAAAAGAAAAACAGAAAATTATTTGAAAAAACAGATACGAGTGCCAGGTTAGGACCAAGAGCTGTATTTTAGCCATGTGGAGATCTCATGGCTTCCTGGAATCAAAGCTCACCTGGGCATTATGAAGTACTAGATAGTTTGTGAAGGCAAGGAATGTCAGAGGTTGTTTAAATCCTGGAATTACTGCAATGAGTTGAGAAAGTAGCATACTACAGATTAAAAAATCAGCTTTTTAATCTATACGATCTCGTTCCTTTACTACTGCTGGTTACTATACTTGGATTATATCTTGTCTTGAAAGGTGTCTATTCTTAATGATGAGACCGTTTTTTGAGTACTACTGATTTGTGTTTCTGCTTTGCAAGTGAAGCAGGTTTCAGTACTTTTTTCGTATGGTAGAAGCAGCAGCAATAGAGGAAAAGCTATACTGCAGGACAGAAAGAGGAAATTGTTAATGAATGTATCAAGTACAAGGAAGAAGGATATGGAAGAACTATAAAAAAATGTAAAGAAAACATAGGTCAAGAAAACTGTTTTCTTAACAGAGCTACTTGAAGTTAGCCATGTTAGTTTCTCTAGTATATTCTACTGTGTTAACCCAAGAATACTAACATGCTGCCTCACTTTTTCCTGCCAAGAAACAATAGTAAAACAGTTAATTATATGGAAAGCTAACATACTTGTATAATTCCTGAAGAATTGAAACACTAGGACTCCCTAGTTTGTTCTGTTTGATAACATTTTTGAGGATGATTTTGGTCTTACTGAATAAATAATCAAATCTTTTAAGTTGTTCTGATTTAAAAATTTATTTTTTAAACCAAAGAATGGTAGTATAAGTATGACTTCCATGGTGATGCTGTGGTGTATGTTTTATGGTTAAATAGTAAAGTCTTCCCAGCTGTGACCCCAGTGAAACCTGATATTAATTCAAACTTAGGGCTTTATCTTGTGTATAACCAATGCCTAAAATTAGTCTTGTTTTAATCTTTACCTTTGAAACTTATTTTTACTGAGCTCTTATGGATCTAATTAGTCCTGCAGTTGGGATTTTTTTTTAACAGTGCTTGCAGAAAACTCTTGATTTTTAGCAGTAATATTGATAGGACTGCAAATGAAGGATAGTAATACCAAATAAGGGGAACTCTAATAAGCTTATCAAGAGCTTAGTAAATGGGATAACATGAGAAATGGATGGGGATAAGTATGATAATATGGTATAGCTTAGTATTTTGAGAATGTGTACTCTTAGGGTATGTTTTAATTTTATTTTACATAATAGCCAGGGGCTCTCTGAGGAATTTCTTAATTTCAAGTGGATCCTTTTCTTGATTTGTTAAGTTATTATATTAGCACAGGGGCTCCAGTCCAAACTGGAATATGAAACATGAAGGTGGTGAGTCTAAAATTGCATTTTGCTAGTTAAGATGAGCCTCACTGCAAGAGGTGTTAAGCATGTTTTGCTGTTTTCCTGCTTATGTGTTGTACCATAAGTCTATCTGACAAGACTTTAGTAGGAACTTGGTCAAGTTTCTCAGTCGTGTCTCAACCTTATGAGCAGAAATAAGTTTTACGTGCTGCTCACTTATGTTTCTGAATTGGAAAGTAAAATCCAGGATGTTCCCCTTGCCAAATGATCAGTTTCAGGATGTTCCCCTTGCCAAACAATCAGTTTCAGGATATGTTTTGGTCAGTTGTACCTGTCTTGCCCACTGAAGAGATACCAGGCAAGTGCGATGCTTGTTGCTGAGCTAGTGATGGGAAAATGTAACTCGGGTGCATCTGCTCTCATTTTTTCCTTGGTAGAAATTACTTTTTGTAGTCCAAGCATTATCAGTGCTATTTTGATCTAATCATTTACAGTAAGTGGACATGAAATATATAAATGCAGTTTTAGCTAATTTGACAGAGCATGCATCTTCTAATCTAAAGAACATTATCATTGCCTTCTCAGAGGTGGCCTCAGCAACATGTTGTTTCAGTGCTCGCTACCTGACACCACTGAGACGGTTGCAGATGAACCACGAAAAGTTCTCCTGCGCTTATACGGTGCAATCCTGCAGATGGTGAGTATGCACAGTGCTTTGGGAGTGGGAGGGTTTCCAGTAGCTTTAATCATAATATGTTTGGAGATCTACTTCTGTGACATGCTGTAAGTTTGTGCTGCTCTATTCACTTGGAAATGTGTCTTAGTGGTAGTGGGGTAGACTTTTAGGTTAAGATAGTTATTTCTTGTAGTTTGTTATTGTTTAGAACTTACACTCCTTTCCACACAGATCCTGACTGGCGTGTATCAGCTGAAGGCTCATTTGCTGTCCATTTGATCAGTAATGTTTTGTTTATGTGTTAAGTTTGGACTGTGGTGCTCCAGAATAGTTATTAAAACTTGCTTCTGTACAGTATGTAGGACTCTGGCATAACTAGCAAGAATGCAAGACTAAACCACTTAAAATATTAAGCTTGGTATCACTTACGAATCCTTCTGAGACTAATGTTGAAGCTTTTGTTAAAAGTACTTCATACAGTGCTCAGGCATTTTATTAGAGACTTCATGGATTTTTTTGTGTAATCATTATCAGAAAAAAATATCTACAGTAAATAAGATGAAGTGCAAACATCCAATATTAGACAGCCATTTCATTCCAAAACATGTCTTTACAGAGCATGAAATATGCCTTGTAGCTGGCATCGAGTCTTAACAATTCTGGAGTTGTTAGGACTCTTCCAGAACTGTTAAGATCTTAACACTGGAAGAGCTAAACGCTCTGCCAGAGGTCCTTTTCCTTGTATTGGTCAGTAAAAAAAAGTAAAATGTTAATTGCAATTTGTCAAACCTTAAGTGATTGGCAAATGTTTCAAATTCTAAACTTTAATATCCAGAATGTTTTGTAAAAGTGTCTTTTTAAGCTTACAAGCTGTTGCTGTACAGCTGTTTAACAGATCTTCTCTTACCCTACATGGCTAGACATTGACTGTAGCGCAAAGAATTGCCCTAATGTAGGAGTATTTTACCTTATGAAAAATGACCACTTCATAAAATTGCTTGGATGTTGGCAATTGCTTCTATTTGACTTAGAATCTGTTTTTATTGTCCATTAATTTGTGATATTTTTAAAACACTTAGAATAACTGCAAGAACTCCAATATCTGCAGGAAATTGACTGCTCTTGAAATTTCAGCCCAGTCTTCCTGCTTCTGCTGCCTTGACTAAACTTGCTTTCAAAATCTAATTGGACAATGTCCCTTATCTGGCTTTTAAATGTTCTTTTATTAGAGAGAGAGATATATATAAATATTATATCAACTTCCCCACGGTAGCAAATTTACCACAAATAAGTGAAAGACTCCACTGGTTTGAAATAACATGGAACACTTTGCTACCTTGCTGTATATTTGTTGGGAAGTTTGAATGTTTAAACAAGACAAATATGTAGAAGTTCATTATTTCGAACTTACTCTTTCCTTTGCTTAAGAGAAATTGAAAGTCAAGTAGACAGTGTTCATGAGAAATACAATGCTTTTTTCAAGATGATTCCTTTGGTAATAAGAATTACCTGTAATTATGAATGACTTTAATGTTGATTTAATACATAGAAGGCCTGAGTAGGAAAATGGGCTGTAAAACTTCTGTAGTGCTAGAGCTTCTGCTGCCCAAGTGCTGTGACAAAATGTAGTCTTTCTGTTTTTTTTTTTTTTTTTAGTAGACTAGAATTTGGTTGCCTTCCTATTTCCCTTAGGTTTTTTCTTGACTTCCCTTTCCTGTGCCCCTGTTCCCTGAAAAAATCAAAATTAAAATTTTGGGCTCTAAAATCAGATAACTAATTTGGTTTTAAAATTGAAAGTGTGTTCATAACTTTCTAACCTGTCTACTCTTGGTGTTGAAGGATCTTTTGAGATGTCTAACTTCCTTTATTTCCATAGTGGCAGTGAAATGACTGCTCTTGTTGGTGCAGTTCACTAAAGGTTAAGTAAGCAGAGAAAGTCCCAAGGTAAAACTTTCAGATTGCATTGAGGTTCACAATTTCTGTCAACAACATTTGTCTCTTCCATCTCCTATATGTTAAATACAAGCTAAAACATAAGCAAACTGTTTTTATTGGGGTATTTTGAAAACCTCACTTAGGAGTCTCATTAATTTCTGGGTGGCACAAGCAGTATCTTTGCCAAGGGAATGGCAAATTACTCCCTTTCAGTAATGTCACTAATCTTTAAAGCCCTATAGCAATTCAGGGACACTGCTTAAGTAATTTAAGAATTATGAGGCCTTATTCTAAAATTGAGACTTCATCCCCAATCATTTCTAACTGCCACTGGGTATTAGTAGTTGCCACTTGTTTGCTTGAGCCTTTGAAGCATGTGTTAACCCTTGCCTATTTTACTTGCTGTTGATATTGGAGCACAAAACAAATGACATCAGCTCCTTGTATTCCTTACTGTAAATACCATAACAGCCTGCACCAAATTGAAGTAGACATTCCTGATGTTTAAGTTGAAACTTTGCATAGAAGTGAAAAATAGACATCAAATACTAACTTAAGAATGAATAATACTGGTACCATGATTTTGAGCCACCTTTGAAAGGAACTCTTGCAGTTTGAAAATAACCCCAGTTTGCTTATTATGAATCTTGGAAGACACAAATGTCAGTACATGAAACTCATCCAGTATAAACCATGCCAGTTGGCTTAAGCTGCCACACAGGGAAGACGCTATGCCTTCCTCTGTCATAGCTGATATGTTTAAGCAAATTTTTTTGTGTGCATGAATGTTTTGGTGGGGGGTATTTGGGGGGAGATGAACTGAACTGTCTTGACCATTATTATGAATGGTCTCACTGGCATGGCTGTTTAAAAATCAAGGACTTCTCGAGTATATCCTTGAACAGATTTTTTTTTTTAAGACAAGTATTTGTGCCCGTGACAGGTTAAAGTACTAACCACATTAAAACTCAAATGTTTGAGGCACAATGCAGATATGTCATACATCGATAAAGGGAATTGCCTTACTCTGCTTTTCTTGTTTTTTGCTCCAGTTCAGTAACTAAAATTTAAGGGGAGCATTGAAAGTAAAACTTCCTCATTATAAAATGCCTTAAACTGTTGGCTATATCAGTGTATATCCACTGAAAGAAAAGCTTCTCCAACAATATGCTGTTTAATCTTTGGGCTTTAAGATTGGATTTCACACACAGATCACAGTAGTATTTCTAGCCTTAAATTCACAGCACCTAAAACTTCTCACATGTTAGAAATGCAAGTAGGATTTCAACATATGCCGGCATCATTTAAGAAAAAAAATCTTAAGTTCACCTATCCAAAGTTAACTTGGGTATTGATTCCCATTCTTACACATGTCAAAAGAACCTTGAACTCTGCTTTACTTGGGGCTCTGTTACTTTGCAACAGCCAAAACAAATTCTTGCTTATAAATGAGGAAAACCAAACCAGTATATCTAATATTCCCCTTTGGTGTCTCCGTTTCCATGTGAACAGACACAAATAATTATGGTTGCCACAGTTCTGTGGTAATTTTTTTTTCCATACCTGCCTTGCTGCCTTTTATTTTTTTGTAACTAAATAAAATGCAGACTGCTGTTGTTTCTGTAATTATCAACGTCTTCTGTGATTGTTGGTGTCCATGTTTGTTTGTAGCATGGAGTAACTACAAATCCCTGGCACTGGCAGACGGCTTGAAAGAAACCAAGCACCTCTTACGGGGATATATTTGTGTTGGGTGGCGTTAAGGGTGTTCTGGGGGTAATGTACCACTTTAGTTGTATATGCATGTGTTCTCTGCTGCAGGCTTGCCCATGCGATCGTGCCTAGAGCACTCTGGTTTCCAGGTGACAGACACGATTCACGGTATAGTATGAGATCTCGGAAGTTGGAGCATTCTCTACAGCTTTCATTTTCTTTAGTGCTGGATTTCATTGTTTAAACATAAGACTTCAGTAGCACTAGCTACTGTCTGTGCATCTGAATGTTTAGAGCAATAATAAAATATCAAAATATTTCCCCTTCCTTTCCTCTGCTCCCTCATAAGAGAATGGTAACTTGAAGTGAAGAGGATTAGAGATATCCTTGTGGCTTTTGTAGGACTTGCACTGCAAATTTTCTCTCCCAGATCCTAGGGCTTCAGTAAACTAGTCTCAGTTCCTTGAGGTCTAGAGTGGATCAGTGCTCTAAGGCAAGTTTTCCATAGCAGAAAGAAAATCCTTCCTGGATTATCATTATTGCCTTCCCCATACCTTGCATTTCACAGATCAGTATCTTCAACAGCTTCCCAAGTTGAGAAAAGCTTCCACTGTAGATTAACCACAGATAACTTTGGTAACTTGACAAGCAGTTTCTTGTAGCAGTGTCAATCATTGGGTTTCGAAAATACTGCTGTACTTTTTCAGGCCCCTCTGAAAACTACTGAGTAAAATCAG